AGACACACAGATTAAGTAGGCTTGAGGTGCTGGAGGAAGTAGGCAGGAAGCTAGGAAAGAGTTTGGTCTAATAAATTTGTTAGTCTCTAAGGTGCCACAAGTACTCCTGTTCTTCTTTTTGCGGATACAGACTAACACGGCTGCTACTCTGAAATCTGAAAGGAAAGTATCAACTTAACAGTCCTCTGGAACAAAGTCTGGCAGCCTGCTCCGAGCCAGAAGTGTATTTATAAAAAAGAAAGGTAGAGGATAGATACTTACTTTTCTGGGGTCAGCATAGGTGCCAAGTCCAATCACGGGGATGCTGTTCCCGTCGTTCAGAGGTATGCGGTGGTTTGCAGCCGTTAGATTCATGATGCAGATGATAAAACACTTGACTGCAACTTTCTAACAGACTGAATGAAAGCAGCAAGAAGAGCCCGCTTTGTGTGTGTCGCGTGCTCCAGGCTATGGCACTAGAGGGCGAGAGAGAGAGAGAATGAAAACTTCTGTTTCTCAACCTGCTCTGTGCCAGCAACACGCGTGCGATCGGCTAAGAAGAGCCTAGGGTAGCGCTTCCAACGTCATAATTGGACATGACTGATAGGCCAACCCAGGGTTACCCTACTAGTCTCCTGAAAGCAAATTTGCAGGCGGGTGAAATATTAACTACCGGCTCTCGTTAGGCGAGGGGGGAGCAAGTCAGCGCATTAGAGATTTGAGAGATGGTCCCAGTTAATCATCTTCATCAGAAGCACGCGGCTTTTCTTTTCCAGGTGGCTTTAAGTATCTGCTAAAAGCAAGGGTGTGCTAGGCGTTAAGGATTAGAGAGAGGAGATTGAAAGGGGGTGGTGGTATTTTGGGGAGGGGGGAAGGGAGTCTGGGTGGCTATGCTTCCACTGCAAAACAAGATTTGTCTGTTTGCTAACTCCTCATATCATTTCAGGGCTCGTCACAGGAGGAAATAAGGGTATTGGAAATAAGGGTATTGGGAACAAGACATTGGTCCTGTCAAACCAGGAGAAACCCATCAGCCCTAATTTCAATCTTCACCGCCCCAGCGGTTTATGTGTGCCAAACCATTTAGAGCAGTAGCTGCTACCCTGGATTCGCCTTCAGTCTCTTCTGCTCCCCCTGGCTGTTTCTATTGCCGCTCTAAGCAGGTGGGTTCAGATTATGCAAGTCCTTTCACTTTCAGGACTATGGCCCATTATTTTGTTAATGGAAGACTTGTTTAAAACCCCTTGTTTACATCAGTCCATTCTTTTGCTTTCAGGAGAGGAAATCCAGGACCCATCCCCCGTTGTCATTGTTTGCCTCTAGATCAGACTTGGCTAATTTATTCCCCTGCCCAAAGTCATAGGTCGTCTTTTGGGAGGGCACTTTTCTGTCTTTATATTATTCTTCCAGTAATGAAAGGACAACTCCAACCCATGTGAAAGACTCACAAGAGCAACATTCAGTTTAGCATTTCAATCAACAGCACCAGCTGTTCATTGCTTTATATATTAGTAGAAGAGATTATCCCTTCAATTATTAATACCCCAGTTACTAGCAGGAAGCCTCACTTATTCCCATCACTTCTGTCTGTGCTAAACTTATATTTGTAAAAAGGCACATTGAATTTCCTTTTGAATCTTATTTGCTATTAATGCTGTTCAGCAACTCGACATTGAGGGTTTACTTCTTCAGCTGCTGCATGTGTGCACTCTTGAAGTCAATTGGAATTACATATGCATCAAAACACTCAGGAAATCCCTTGATCAATTTAGTTTGCATTTCAAATGCATTCAGCATGTGCCTTTTTCTGTACCTAATCTTCACACAACCCTTTTTGTCCTCCCCCATTCAGGCACTTAAAAAAAAAAACCCCATCTTTCTCCTGGTTACTCTCATTTAAGCACCTTTTCACAGTTCTGTCCATGCATCAAGCAAAAAAGTGTTACAGACTCATTCAGTTGCAATCCACCAATCTATACATTAAATACAAAAGGAGCGGGTGCTGGGGCCAGGATGGAAATAAGGTTCAGTCTCTCTTCTCAGCACAGAGGAGTGTTACGCCCTCCTCACCTGATAGTATAGCACAGATTTATTTATTTATTTTTAAGTAGGCCTTTAAATCCATGATTAGCTGTCTAAAGGGCCTGATTTTTCAGAAGGGAGACACAGCATCCAACCTCTTCCATTGACTTCAGTAAGAGCTGCTGGATACTTTAGGAAATGGGGAGAGGAGAAGAGAAACAGGCCAACTTATTTAGGTGGCTAAACACAGATTTGAGATCTTAACTTTAGGCACTCCAGGTGCTTGAGTTAATATATTTCAATTACAAATGACTGCAGTTATCCACCCCAAAATAGTTTTAGAGGCATGAAATATGGTAAAATGCTACTAATGCATTTTGATAGCAATGGAGAAAGTTTAGAGCACAGGGAATCAATGAATGGTCCATCCACTGTGGGCAGAAGTCCTAACTTCTCTAACTTTATCCCATGATGATTTTCTTCATTTATTTATTCTGAATTTTACCCCCCCCCCACAATAATTCCTGCTCTATTGTAATAAGCTATCCCACATACCAATGATGTGCCCGAGGGGACAATCCCTTTCTGAAATCCAATGTAAATCTCTCCTTTTCTAATCTCACACCATGCTCCTAGGTTATGCCCTTAGCCCTCAGTGTAAATAGATTTCCCAGCTCCATTTCTGCTTCATCTAGTTATTTTCTATCCTATAATTAAGGTCTTGGTGTCTTCACTCCACTTTTAAATCTACATATGTAGAAACATTTTATGGGTCTTGCCTTGTATCCAAATGAAATGGAGATCCAGCAGAACTATTCCTCAACCCCCAACTTTGTGGTGTAGGTTATTTCACTGTTTATACATCCTAGCACCCCACTTCTTTGCTTTATAGCAGGTGTTCAATTTGAAGCGGCATATATGAGTGTCACTGGCTGAACCTATTTAGGAGTGCACGGAGGGGAGAATGGCACTGTCAAATATGGCGTTATCTGTTTCCAAATCACGGACAACTCTGATCCATAAGTATTCAAGATCATTTGTATCAGTCTCCTAGCACAGGCGTTTCTAACCATTATTGGGCTACGTACCTACCACCTTCTTAGAAAATTGATATTTGAAGTACCACGTGCAAACTTCTCCGTTTTGTGCACATTTCTTTCAGGTCCTGACAAGCCTAATTTACATTTTTCCAGACTACATAGTAAAACAAATGACTCACCAGGAAGCCTAAAATGAAATGTTCACTTCTAACCTCCTTTTTAAACATCTCAGGCTTCTAGACCTGCATCAAAAACAAACAAGGAAGCAGCCATTACTATTATGTCCTGTGCATTACTCCATTTACAAGAAACAATACATTTCTCATAAATAGCATTGTGATCCCGTTTTGGGGAGTGTAGCTGAGCTATAGTCAATGGTTTGACTCTTTTACTTGTCTTCTAAGTTCAAAGTTCCTGGTAGTTCGTCTCTGGATTATTGCTGAACACAAGCTAGTCTTGGCTGGAAAGGGAAGTAGGGAATGGGGGTGGGGAGCTCTATCTAGGCACCAGGCTACTTCAGCTCCAGGAGCCTCTTCTCCTTGGCATCTCTGGCCCCCTTGATGCCTGTATGTCTGAGTATATTGCACAGGGCTAGCTGTGCTGGGAGGAGGCTCAAATTGCAGACAGCTGGCGGCTCCTCTGCTGAGGAGCCAGGCAACTCCCCTTAGTCTTGTAGCCAAGATTTTGGATTGTAGGAAAGTTGAAGGGGGCAGAGATCGTAGGCAATAGCCCATGCAAGCCCTGCCTCTCAGTGCTAGCAGTTCACTGCCAGCTGCAGTTTAGACATACTCCAGGAGCCCTGATATCAAAGGACTCCCACCTGCAGTGTAGCTATATCCCTTGTGGCTGCAGGTTTGGAGCCACTCTCAAGTAGCTATGTATGCATTTGTCTCTTCAGATGAAGGGAGCTTGTGGGGCAGGACCTGGAACTTCACCTCAGTAGGTTGAGCTACGTAACTCAACGCAAACTGAATATTAGGCCTAGCAGAAAGCCAGCAGTGGGCCAAATGAGTACAGTGTCCATCTGCACAGCCACAGCACACAACCCTGATACATAAGACTACGCTAGCATGGCGGGAAAGCTTTATTTTCACTACAGTATTATGGCAGAAAGCCAGGAGAGTGCATTTTGCTTCTGGGGTATATTTTGGTGTGCTGCAGTGCATGAGGCCACTGTGTTTGAAAGTGAGTGAAGGTTTAAGAGTTTTTTGGGATACCTCTTTCAGCAAGCTGATACATATACCACAATTGGTGAGCCCCTCTTCTAGCAGAGAAGGCATAAGATGGGGATGCTGGTTAGTGTCAGCTACAAGCCACCAAATCACATTAGGGAACAGGAGTCCTTAAGATATTTCTCTATAGTGTGTAAGGAAAACTGCACCAGATGCTGGTGATTCTCATGCTGCCTGTAACAAAACATCCTTACAACTTCTTAAAAAACAAATCTAGGTGACAATATCCTAACTTTAAGTGTTGCATACAGGTGGGGGTTAATTTATATTAGACATTGTTGTGATCTCAACTAAAAACTGGTGGGGTTTTTTAGGTGCAAGTGATCATGAATGCACATAACAAAATGTAACAAACAGAATAAAGTCCACACCAGTGATATGTACTGGATGTTTGAAAAGGGCTCCAATTTCATAAAACTGAAAGCAATTGAGCTAAATTAACTTGGAGAAAAGAGAATGTGAAGAATAATGGCAAGCTGTTTAAAAACATTCTACTAAATGCCCAAAAAAGCACAATCCAACAGATGAGAGAGAAGATTTAAAAGGGTTAAAAAATTGCCTACATGAGAAGGGAAACAAAAGCTGATAAACTATATAACAAATAGAAAAAAGGGGAAGTTGATATTAGTGAACATAAATCAGAAGCTAGAAAATGTAGAAGTTTGATGTGGGAAGCAAGAGGGCACAAAGTGACACCTATAGCCAATAGGGTTAAAGACAGACTCCTTTTTATTGAGGATATCAAGAAGGAATCCTAACAATTGTATTTTCCATTAATAGATGGACACAGTAGAATTGTCATTAGTAACACAGAAAAGGGAAATGTTTACATCTTTTTCCAAACTAGAGAACAGAAATATTATGTGACAAAATAATCTTCACTCCAACAGAGTCAATGGAAGATTTTTTAATAGCAGTCACTAAAGCTTGACTAATACAAATAGCAGGTCCAGATAACTTGAATCTAAGAGTTTTAAAAGAGGTGGCCAAGGAGCTCTGGTCTGTTTTAACGCAAGTCTTAAAACACTGGAGAAGTGACAGACAACTAAGAAAACACAGTTTGGTGTTAATACTTATGGGTATATCAGATGACCCAGATATCCATCCCTCAGGGCACCTAGGGCTAAGAGTTTTTGTTAGCATACCCCAGCATGAGGGACTCTTGCCTGTGCTAGCTGGGTGTTAGCTCCCAGGGAGGCAGTCACTCAAGCACTCTCCTGTAAGCTATGCCAGCCCTGCTGATCGACAACAGATGCTCTCTGGCCACCAAGTCCCTACAAAATGTCCCTCTGTG